AAAAAAGAAGAAGAAGAAGAAGAAGAAGAAGAAGAAGAAGAAGAAGAAGAAGAAGAAGAAGAAGAAGAACTTGCCCAACTCCTGATGCTTCTGGGCAGTTATATAGAAAGTAATCTACTCTGGGCCAATCTTAGCACGTTGAAGACCTTGCTATTCCTTAATTAATGCAAACTCAAGGTGCATGAATTCATGAAATCAGTTTGGAAAAGTATATTACCCATATAAGGAACATAAAAACACAGTTCACAGTTTCTGTACAATCCTAGTTCTAGAAAAACTATTACCAGTACAATTGCAACAAACACAATAGTTTTTATTTGTAATTCTGGTCCGTGACTGTAATAAAGATGAAGTTTGTAAGTAAGGGCACATGAAATAAGCAACCTGAAACTCTTCAAGAGTTTGTTGCTGTTAAATAGTAAAGTAAAATCACACTCCACTCAGCAGGCATAAATTACTGTTCATAAATGTCCATTGGATGTCACTACACCACCACATCATAGCTTGCAATGGTAATGATAAATATTTGTGCAGAGTTGGGACACTTAAACTATAATACTGCTTTGTTAACTAATATATTTAAAAGCAGGTGAATTGATTTGGAGTTAAGGTAATTTAAAATGAAAACAAGTGCCCTCATTAAAACTGACATTAAATTTCGTATTATGTAATGTTACACATCATGAATAAATATAACTGCTAGATTAAACACAGGCAATCTGACCCACACATAATGATAATTGGCTGACTAGGAAAAACAGATGTAATTGAGCTGAGCAGTAACTATACAGTGAATGAGACAGTAGCATCCACTTTCACTACATTAATCTCTGCAGCAAAATTATTCTGGATCAAAGCTGCTGCTGCTTCTCCTTCCCCGTTCCCCAAAAGGACACTGTAAGATTGGAATAGTACAACAAGACGTAACATAAAACACCACAAAGTTAAGAAGTCATCTTTATTTCAAAATGTCAAGTACTGAACGTTCACTTGCAAACAGCTATTTACACGTATTGTCCATAAAGTTTTATACAAGCTTGCACATAGTTTGAAAACTGGTCTTTGTTCCACTGAGAGAGAAATATTAGTTCAAATCTTCACTAAAAAAAAAAAAAAAGGAACATTCCACAAATCAATCAAATCCCCATTTTTGTTATTATAGACGCAATACACAGTTTCCTGACTGACATTCTTAAAAACATTTATCAAAACTAACATTTTAACTAGTCTGCCCCTTGATTAACAGTATTTTTCCCTCTTTCAGGTACATTATGTTAAAACAAAACACAATACAACATACTGCTGTTTTCCTGAAATCAATGGGAAAAAAAATACAGCTTTGTCTATATATTAATGGGGGAGTATGTGAAGTATAAAAAAGTAATAATGATTCGAAATTGCATATTTCTAAGAATATTAAGTTCAACCCTGGATTTTTTTTCTTACAATAGAAGTACCATATTTTTTTAGATTCTTCGGCATACAGTGTTTTTATAAACTACACATGGTTTTAGCTAACAATTCTGTTCTGAAAGTGTATTTTTAAAGTTCAAAAATCAAAGGGCACAAATCTGTTGTCTTTGCCACCACAGTTCAATATTAACTCAAGCATATGACTGAGGGGGGGCAGTAATTTAGGAGCAATATCAAGGGCCCTATGTGTGCACATTTTGTGTTCATTCAACAGGTGCCATAGTCGGAAACACTGGTTAAAACACTTGCTGAGCATAGCCTTCCCTACTATGCTGCTCCCCAGCTGCACCAAATTTTGACTCCTAGACTTCCAATCCAATACAGCTGAAATGCAAGCTATTAGCAAGCCTGGCAGGATACCAGAGCACCATGTCTTTAACTATCACTATCCTCTGCCAGAGAGTTATTTTTCCAGATTCAAGACTTAAAGATTTCCAGTTAGCTAATGACAGCCAATTCTTTTAGTTAAAATATCTAAACACACTAGTTCAAAGTTTGTGCTGCTTCAGGAAAAATTGTGGAGCAAGAGTATATTGCAAACTTACCATTAAGCTGACGGTCCTGCAAGGTAAACACCTGAGCAGCTATTTGAAGTATTTCTCAGGCTAAAGAGAGAATTCTTTTATCACATTAGCACCAGTTGATCAGTTCAAAGCTAGAGGACCAATGTACGTTTTCTGGTACACTAACAACGCTTAAAAACACACACACAAACTCTGAGACAGCCGCCTGATGCCAGTCTAGGGCATTCTCCATTTTATGACTACAATACAGGGGAAAAAAACAGTACAAATGTGTAAATGACATAATGAACTGATACATATACATTCAGAAGCCCCATTCAGAAGCTTGGCAGAATACATAGTGAGCTCAAAACTAGGCCCACTTCTGTATCTCCACAAATACAGAACGCAGGTCTGAAAGGGAGCTATACTCACATTTGCTGTAACAGGGCTAAAGCTGTCAGTGCAAGTTAAGACCTGACCTTACTAAGGTACCTTTGGAGAGCTGTACTTCTGTTTAAGCAAACAGGAGCGCTGGTCCCCTTCAGGACCTCTTGCCCGTATGCATGGAGGGCAGAGTCAGAATGCCCAGAGGGTTCTGCTCTCTCCCATTTTGAGTTCTCTCTGCCTTCCGGTGAGGCTTGCACTAGGTGACACTCTTGATGCACTATGATTAACCAACGAATTGGATAAACTTTCTACTTCCAAATTTCAAGTATGCAATCAATACTGAAAGAATAATGACACTTTTGAGGCAATGGTAGGCTTGCATAAATAATCTTAGTACTATATTCATAAACAAATACTTATATTAATATTGATGGCCATCTACATCCATGTACATTATATACACTATGAAAAGATTTAACACTTATTCTAGGATGGGCCAGAGAGACAACAAAATCCTTCAGTTATAACTGAAGTATTACATTGGTGCATGTTCTCTAGTTTTCTTCCACAGCTTAAAAAACGAATCCCAAAGTCAGGAAACAAAGAGCGTGGCTAAACCTCCTATTGCTGCTTACAGCTACTGCAGTGACATTGCTTAAACTGAATTTACACAGACATACACAGCACTTGGAAGATGTATGCCTGAGAAGAGAGCAACTGTTGTTCAACTAATAAACACTATGCAAGTTCAATACAGGGCATCAATTTTCCTCAGAATGCAACACTGTTACGCGTAGGCCCAGAGCAGCTAGGCTGATGCTTTCAAAACCTTATGACGTGACTTCCCTGCTCCTCAAACCTATTCCTCCATCAACTACTCCCTAACCTAATTTTTCTTCAGGATATATCCATTAACATAAACCCTGTTTACAGTGTCCCATGTCTTAGCAACTGAACTTTGACTGCATACTCATTGCCTTTTAGGAACTATTCCACTTCTTTTTATTCCCCACTAAAAAGCATTTTCTCTCCCCACTCTAAAAGATTATTTGAGGGGTGCAGAAGGGCTTGAGGCCTGACCATATTCTCATTTCAACTTTTTGACAGCTACATCTCAGAAGCCCCTTTTGAATTTGCCCTGAATATCAAAAGGATCCTGCCTAGGGAACTGCTCCTCAATGTGTGATTTAAGACAGTGTTCCTCAACCTCGGCCACTTGAAGATGTGTGGACTTCAACTCCCAGAATTCCCCCCCCCACCTCGCCGGGGGGGGGGGGACTGGGGGGGGGGGGGGG